AACTGTTAGCAGGTAAAGAGTTAATTAACCTTCAAAACAAAAATAAAATAAAAAACATAAAGATCTACTTATTAGCTAGATCTAATCATTCGCGTATAGATTTTATTAACATTTAATGACTAGTGAACAAAAGTAAAGGAAAAACAAAGTAGATATTATATAGATAGGCATTAAAATGATATATTTATCGAGTTACAGATGATTTATGGAAGTATCAGTCAGTTATACGATAAACCGCTTTCGATTTCAGCGTGAAATTCATTCATTCATTTGACTAAATAGCGTTTTGACATTTTGGTGGTGTTTTGTTCTCTGAGCTGGATGGTTTGGTCGTGGAGCTTTCATCGTTCTTCTGAACGACATCATCAGCACAAACTTCAGATAGAAGTGAAGTGTTCGAATTTGACATTTTAGCTGATGTTAGTTTGTGATGAAAACTATAAATCTAATTTCTAATTCTAATCATCAATTGTAATTCATCATTCCAATTACTCACACTACTTCATAACGCTCATTTAGTCATAGTTAGTAGGTGGACATTATCAAGATTAAATTAGTTTCGCATAAAGATCATAAGACCATAAATTATAGTCTCACCGTATTTGTTACTCATCAATGGGATATTTTGTGTGAGTTACGTTCTCTCATATGGAAGATTTAGTCGTAAAGCTTGTGCGAATAATATAGTACAGAAAAAGATAATGGAAGTTTGATGAACAACCTATCGAACTGATGAATTATTCATTCATACTACGAGAAGATTGGTGAACTATGAGAAGTGAGTGAGACACAAATACACAATGTAGAACCTGCCATATGTATGCTGTGTGAATATCAAGAAATACCACTGTATTACCATTGGACATCGATAGAAATGGGAATATTTCAAGACCTCACGAATGGGATACATGTGATTGTGATTTAATCATTTATGTTTAAAACCAACTTGATCGACATGGTTTGCTGTTGACAAGGCCTAATGAAGAACTACATGACAATTGAAGTGAATATTCCCAAAACTATATTGATGATTACAGCAGATGTATTTCTAACCTCTTTTAAAAACTGTTCAAAAACAGACAACTGTGATTTCACACAATATCCATACTCTAGAGGATATCCCAGTTAATGCAAGTGCTGAGTGTGAACCGTCATCAAGGTCAACTGAATTATGAGAGATGTAGTGTCAAGAAAACAGTGTTTTTTATGCCGATAAATGTCTCTTATTTCACATGTTGACTAGATGGTGCATACACTCGACTATGGATAATTCAATGAAAACTTGTTGTTATTGAGAATTACTATTAGTATGAGGGATTTGTGTGGATTGAATTATTTTCACGGTTGAATTCACGAACCGATGTCAGCTAGGTCGTCATTGAGAGTGTGGAATTACGGGATGGCAATTTCATCCTAATACGGGACTGCTCAGAAGTGAGTTGTGACAAGTGTTGTTCAGTGTGTGTTGTGTGTGTGTGTGAGTGAGTTATCTACTGTAGTCAGTGAATAAATGTTTGCACGAGATCATCGATTGATTGAAGTTTGATGTAATAATTGATGGTTGGTAGCTCAGTTGTCTGAGTGTGACTTGTTCACATGAAATTGATCGAAGATCTTAAATTCGATTATCTCTGCAAGCAGGACCATGGATACACAATATTGAATGACTCAGTGGTCATCCAGTGATTCCATCATGTCAATGATTGTCTAGCCATGATAAGTGCATTATTTCAACTGTGTAAATTTACAATTCCGTTAATTGAATGTGATTCCAACCAAATACAATCTAGATGTCATCATTTTAACATATCACCAATCAGTCTATACAATCACATCAACTGTCTCAATTACTTACTAATTTACTTACTCCTGTTACTCCCAATGGAGCATAGGCCGCCGACCAGAATTCTCCAACTCACTCTGTCCTAGGCCTTCGTTTCTAGTTCCATCCAATTCTTCTTCAATTTTCTCATGTCCACCTCCATTTCCCGACGTAATGTGTTCTTTGGTCTTCCCCTCTTCCTTTGGCCTTCAGGATTCCATGTGAGGACTTGTCTTGTGCTTTCCTCAATTTGTGTCCCATTCACTTCTATCACTTCCACCTGATTTCTTCGTCCGCTGGGATCTGGTTTGTTCTTCCCCACAGTAGGTTGTTTCTAATAGTGTTCGGCCAACGGATCCGAAGTATTTTGCGTAGACAACTGTTGATGTACAACACTTGTATCTTCTGGATGATGGCTTTCGTAGTTCTCCAGGTTTCTGCCCCATACAGTAGAACTGTCTTGACATTTGTATTGAAAATCCTGACTTTGGTGTTGGTTGACAGTTGTTTTGAATTCCAGATGTCCTTCAGTTGTAAATATACTGCTCTCGCTTTACCGATCCTCATTTTCACATCTGCATCACATCCACCATGTTCATCAGTGATGCTGACCAAATATGTAAAGATATTTACATCTTCAAAATCTTCTCCGTCAATTGTGATTGGATTGGTGCATACTGTGTTGTATCGGAGAGTCATGCTTTCCCCTTTTTTGTGTTGAAACCTACTGCTGCTGAGGCTGCTGCTTTACTGCTCGACTTCCGCTGCGTTTGTTGTTGTGTGTGCGATGGAAGAGTCAGATCATCTGCAAAGTCTAGATCGTCCAACTGTATCCTAGATGTCCACTGTATCCTATGCTTCCCTTCAGATGTTGACGTCTTCGTGAACCATTCGATCGCCACGAGAAAGAGAAAGGGTGAGAGTAAGCAACCTTACCTGACACCGGTCTTTACCTCGAACGAGTCTGTCAATTGTCCTCCATGCACGGTTTTGCAGTTTATTCCATCACATGAATTCTGTATGTTATTGACTGTCTCCTGAGGCACGCCGTAGTGTCGAAGAAGCCTCCGTAGTGTTGTGATGTTCACGCTTTCAAATGCTTTTTCGTAGTCAATGAAGTTGATGTAGAGTGATGAATTCCATTCCATTCAATTGATTGTTCTACAATGATCCGTAGTGTTGTGATTTGGTCTGTACTCGATCTATCCTTACGGAATTCAGCCTGTTGATCTCAAATGTGGGCGTCTACAAAATCCTTCATCCCGTTTAATAATACCCTGTTGAACAGGACTCAGTCTTGAGTCCCTCAGTGGGCTACTGCATGTCCCAATTGCGGATAAAGGATGAGGGTTGGGCATGGGGTTAGCGACCCTATCCCGTAGAAAATAAACTCGCTAAAAAACGACAACCACATAAACTCTCAATTACATGAATCTATATATCAATGTTTATTCTTCTTTCTTTCGTTCATTCTGTTCATACTGTTTCGCACATTCTTCTCTTTTAAACATTACATAATCAACATTGGTTGTATACATTCATTGGACAAGTAAGCTAATCACAATCACCTCTATTTCCCCACCACTCAATTCTTCCCCTATATTGTCTTGCTCAATGATTTATCTACCTGTACTACACATACAATGAATATGTTGGTGGTTTCATTCTTCTTCCTTAAACAGTTAACCTCTTTTTTCTGACTTATATTTATGGATTTGTACATAATTGCTAATATTAAATTAATGAAGATTGATTGGAACATTTCATGTGATCGAATTCTTTTTATTCTCTGGAATAAAGAAGACAGGGAGCTGTTGGATTGAATGTATAACCTGAATTCATTCTAAATGAATTCCTGAGTAGGGACAAACACGCACGCACACACAAACAGTCACATTTTTTTTCTACTGAATACACCTTTGTCCATATGCATTGTGAAAGATGTGAGATTAGTGTTGTTTTGGCAAGATATTAGATCGATACAACAGTGACATGTTGACAGACGAGCGAGCAGTTGATTATTGAATTACCAGATGAAAATTGGCAAACTGAATGAAAGTTGTAGGTGTGATGGTATTCATGGTATTGTGAATGAGCACAGTTGAGTAGTTACACACTGAGATAAAACAACAGCTGTCTAGTATGATGTATAATAGTCTGTGATATGAAACCGTAATATTCAATACTCTTCACCAACTCCTATCCCATTCTAACGATATTCATTAATGATGAGAATGAGATTGAGTGTGTCATCTACTGCGAGTTGATAGTGAAGATGATCATTCTCGTTTTAAAACATGTAATGAGAAAGATATTGAAACGACCATTGTTTAGCGGTGTTCGATCTAGCTACCATTATGAATTGAAATACACAATGTTCATTCATTTCGACTGATGAAGATTAGAAAACTGACTGACATAATTCTAACTTTATTTCAATGTTTAATTGGTAATGCAGAACGAGGAATGAGTGTTTGATATTGAATTGAAATTTTCCGGAATATTTGGAGGTGATCAGTTTTGACAGACAACTCACACTGAAGTAATTGTAATAATAATGTACTCACCACTTGACAATTTCTGAGGTAATCATGGAGAATTTAGTAAGAATCAGTGAGGAGTGGAGTATGATTTGATGGAGTATGAGATAGTTTTCGACTAATCAGATTGAAATACATCTAGTGAATATAGTTAATTGATTAAGGTTAGAAATGTCAGATGTGGGTTGTCAAATATGTACACAAGGAGCTGAGTGCTCATCAGGAGACATGAAGTTCTCTAGTATGATTCACTGGTTCAATGACCAAGATCATTTGATGATGTAAATGTATAGGATAACTAGTCATTGTGAAGTGATATTATTTTTGCAATGGATATAAGAATTGCGTTGGTCTCAGCCGTATGTGATACATGATATGTGATCATGTTCCCTCAATAACTCCCTACATAGTTTGTGCAATAAGTATGGAGAAGATATACAATAGTGAGCAATACTATAATGGATTAATAATAATATCACAATGTAATAGAATGTCAATTCATGTTCACTGAATGTCATGAATTGATAAAAATGATTTAAGAAAATAAGGCACCATAGAATGAATCATGAATAACAATGACCGTCGAGTGCTTGCAGGTGTCCAATGGCGGTTTAGTTTAGATCGACTAATCAATCCAGCTATTCAAATACAAACATAATAATAATAATAATAATAATAATAATAATAATAATAATAATGATGATGATGATGATGATGATGATGATGATGATGATGATGATGATGATGATGATGATGATGATGATGATGATGATGATGATGATGATGATGATGATGATGATGATGATGATGATGATGATGATGATGATGATGATGATGATGATGATGATGATGATGATGATGATGATGATGATGATGATGATGATGATGATGATGATGATGATGATGATGATGATGATGATGATGATGATGATGATGATGATGATGATGATGATGATGATGATGATGATGATGATGATGATGATGATGATGATGATGATGATGATGATGATGATGATGATGATGATGATGATGATGATGATGATGATGATGATGATGATGATGATGATGATGATGATGATGATGATGATGATGATGATGATGATGATGATGATGATGATGATGATGATGATGATGATGATGATGATGATGATGATGATGATGATGATGATGATGATGATGATGATGTTCAGTGTAGTTTAGTGTTGTTTAGTTTTGTGTTTTGTAGTGAATTACGGTTTATCGTAGGATGGTAGGTGATTTTTGTTGAGTGATGAGGTGTTGTAAATTATCTTGTATTTTGTTTGTAAAATGCATTCTTCGTCGCTAAAAACGAAATAAATATCAGTAGTATAACACGTGGATTTTTGGATTAAACAATGTGACTACAGGTAGACTTAACGCTTATGTATGTACTGCTAAGCAATAGAGTTCAATTGGAATTGAGCAAACGTGCGAATGCATTACCGTACATGATGTGTTTGCAAATGGCTAATCTGAATTGAGGTATGTGGTAGAAATGAAGACCGTTGCAATATTTGACAGGCAGCTCAACGGTGGAAGTTGCCACACTTCATTACACTAGTTATCGACTCTGCCACTTTCATGATGGCATTATTTATGAGAGTGGAAGAGGCTGTGTTTATAACGTAGTGAGTGTGAGAAATGTTGAATACATCTAATTGACGGAGAAATGACCTCATGAAATTTGATCTCTCACAGATTCTGTAAGCATAATCAAACACGGGTAGTCATATATAGTTTAGACTACAATCAGATGACAGATATGATGTTAAAACGTCTTTGATAAAATGCAAAACTCAGTGAGTATGTAAATCACGTAAACAGAAATCATCACAAGTATACAACTTGCAACCACTGCTTTAACTCAACAGCTATGAACATACTATGTGAATCAGTCACATTAATAATAATTATAATATTATTAATAATAATAAATTATTCCTGTTGTTATGAAGGAAGCTTTCATGAAATGTTGAGAGAAACGGCTGGTGGATCAGTGACAAGCAATAAAATAAATTGTAGTCAATTGACGGTTGTCGCGTGATCATCTCATTGTCTTTGGTATGTTAGGGTTGGAAATCAAGACAAGAATATTGAGGTAGATGAAGAGCTGAATTGCACATTGAAATAACACTATCAAATGGCATTGGAGATCTTCGGTGGAACGTTTGAAGCTCACCAAATTATCAATCAATTATTGAGAGACAATTATGTTCAATTATTTGGAACACCTTCACCACATACTTTGAAATATTAGAATACATACAAATATTTGTATTTCACCACACTACTCTGTCAGACAAGTAATAATATCACAAAATAAGTGGAATTGGTAAGTGATTATTTTACGAGTGGTAGGTGAGTATTGATTAGGAATTCACATCCATCACATAGAATGGAATGGAATGTAAAGGAAAAGTACAATGCAATGATTGTTTGTTTAGGTATGTTTGCAGATATGTACACATGTATGTGTGTGTGAGTGGATGAGTGGGATTTGTAGGAAATTCGATAGAAATATGAATGAATATTTGCTACTGAGTGGGTCGTAATAAGTAGTATAATGAGTATAGTCGATTATGATTTGTTGATTGATGAAGAGACAGAATTGGTGTAGAAGAAATGGATGATTCATGCTGAAACTGTACATAGATATCATTTGACATCAAATGAATAATTTCATTTGACATTTGTAAAATGATGATTCGATTTAAGGTAAACAGTATTTTCTTTAGAATAGAGGAATTACAAAGATGAGTGACTTGACGAATGATATTCTGTCACTTTGGAATATTTGGACGCTGCCACGTCGAGTGGTAGTGTGTATGTTTAAAATGAGTCGAGACGCCGAGTCAGTTCGTTTTACGAAGTTATCTATGACATGTTGAAGGCATCTCAACATTCGTATTCATTTAATCAATGGTGGACATGGATGATAAACACGAATTACTCATGAATGATTGGTATTGCACTTGAAAGTGTTGAATGTTTCACATTCATTCATCCACATTTGTCACTGTGTGTTAGTCGAATATTGCAAGTGATTATGAATATTTTGCAGTTATGATTGTATTATCAGATGAATGTATACTGGAAGTTGGTGATCATTGGGAGAAACAAATATCTTACTAAACTGGAAATAGGAGTGTGATATTGGTTGAGTATAAAACTCACTAGTTTAATATCTCTGATGCTGTTCTTTCACTCCCTACCTCACTAAACTCTTTGTGGTTGAATATGTTCATAACCGTTTCGATCAGCAATATGTGCATACTCTCTATCTACACATGTCACATTGAGTCAAATGTTACAAATCAATACACCAGTTGAATTGGACAAAATCATTATTTTGAATGATGTACTTACGAACACTGACAAATGTAGACAATAACTATGATCATGATGATGTTACTATTCGAACTTGCTAGTGTATGTAATCAACCGGTCAGTCAGTCAGTCAGTAAGACAGTCGGACAATGAGTTAGTTAGCCAGTCACTCAATGAGACAAACAGTTAATCGGTTAGGTGTACTTCAGTTTTAGATGTGCTTGACAAATACAAACATTGAATTCGTTCACGTGTACTCACGAAGTGGCATTCACTGATCGAGTGGATTTGCAATGTCCACCTGTGAAATAGTCGATGTACATGTACATGTACATTTTGATTATATCTAAACTCGTTTTCAATTAATCTATGCATTCAACAACTTTACATTTTGATACAAAGTCTACAGATTTGAAATCACCAAAAGTCATTCTGTGGACAAACACAAATACAGTTATTTGAAAATTTACCTACTACTCATCGTCATTGCAATTTACATAGATGTGTAAATTAGAGCAATCATGATTGATTAGCTGATAGATTTACTTATCTAATATGAAATACGAGAAATGGTAAGTAGGAGATTAATTGAGACCGTTTTACAACGGAAAATATTCAAGAACATGTATGTGTTTTACTTTTGAAATTGTGATCATTATTACTTCTTACTGTTGGATTCCAACCGATTGAAGCTCCACCTAAGTGTTAACAATCACTATGAATGATGGTCGCGCATTATCATCACAACATGAATCACACTAGAAATATAAATCATTGGAAGAGAAGTTGATTGTAGGAAGATCAGGCACTGATATTGAGACCTAATGAATATGGTTTGAATATTTCTTCACCGATGAAGATTCGAATTCCAGAACGGAATAACTATTTTATACTATCCAATTTCTACTGTACATCAACTTCATTGACTACGAAAAAGCTTTTTATAGCGTGGACAGAACAACAGTATGGAAGTGTTGGGTCGGCTTTCGGAGAACCTCAACGGAGCCTCCATTGGCCTAAAAGGCGCCGAAGAGTCCTTTCCAATCAGACCACGATAGAGCATTCTAGAATTCCAATGTTGCGTGCTACTATTGGTGAGTAGCATAATATGTCGTTAACGAATTGGCGGAAATATGATGTTAATTTAACAAACGTTAACATCCATAAATACCCAAGCTTTCTATACAACAACGAACCTTGAAGTAAAGTGTCTCTCTCATATTTTGCGTCTTATTTCTGGTGTTCAGGTCGCTGTATAGTTCTACTGTGCAGGTTTCCTGAAAACCTTAGGAACGAATATATGTTGCTTACTCTCATTTTTATCTTTCTACTGGTAATCGACTGGTTCATGAAGACGTCAACATCTGAAGGGAAGCATGGGATACAGTGGACATCTAGGATACAGTTGGACGATCTAGACTTTGCAGATGATCTGACTCTTCCATCGCACACACAACAACAAACGCAGCGGAAGTCGAGCAGTAAAGCAGCAGCCTCAGCAGCAGTAGGTTTCAACACAAAAAAGGGGAAAGCATGACTCTCCGATACAACACAGTATGCACCAATCCAATCACAATTGACGGAGAAGATTTTGAAGATGTAAATATCTTTACATATTTGGTCAGCATCACTGATGAACATGGTGGATGTGATGCAGATGTGAAAATGGGGATCGGTAAAGCGAGAGCAGTATATTTACAACTGAAGGACATCTGGAATTCAAAACAACTGTCAACCAACACCAAAGTCAGGATTTTCAATACAAATGTCAAGACAGTTCTACTGTATGGGGCAGAAACCTGGAGAACTACGAAAGCCATCATCCAGAAGATACAAGTGTTGTACATCAACAGTTGTCTACGCAAAATACTTCGGATCCGTTGGCCGAACACTATTAGAAACAACCTACTGTGGGGAAGAACAAACCAGATCCCAGCGGACGAAGAAATCAGGTGGAAGTGATAGAAGTGAATGGGACACAAATTGAGGAAAGCACAAGACAAGTCCTCACATGGAATCCTGAAGGCCAAAGGAAGAGGGGAAGACCAAAGAACACATTACGCCGGGAAATGGAGATAGACATGAGAGAAATGAACGGGAATTGGATGGAACTACAAACGAAGGCCTAGGACAGAGTGAGTTGGAGAATGATGGTCGGCGGCCTATGCTCCATTGGGAGTAACAGGCGTAAGTAAGGAAGAAAGTAATTTCTACTAGCTTATTTCACTTTCATCGTTGTCCCAACTTGTTAAATATGAACGATGATACGAAATCACATAAAATCCAATGTCCCAATAAGAGTAAGTTATAAGCATCCATCATCCTCCATTGCCAAACATTTAGGTGGAACAGGTAATAGGATTGATGATTGAAAGGAGGTGGAAGAGATAATACTATTTCATGAATACTTCGGTTTGTTCAAATTTACGTATTTCAAATGTATCGATTGAAAACACTATCATAATCATCAGCTATGCAACTGATCGTCTCTCGATTCAACTCACAACTAAATGTTGAATTTGAATGATCTAGTGAGCAGACTAACGAATTTCTTCATGGATGTCTAATCACATTGTCATCTTTCCATTTCGTCTACTTGTAGTTGAGTTACTTGAGTGACTAACTCATCGTTCCTGTTTCTCAGCATGACTGAAGAGAGAGAAGCACTGGAGAAAGGGAGAGAGAATGTGGGAGTTAGATGATGAGAGATTGTGTGTGTGAGAGCGAACGAGAGAGAGAATAGTTGTATAAAAGTGGATGTAAATAGTTGTGTGTGTGTGTGAGAGAGAGAGAGATGGAGAAAAAGTGAACAGCCGATAAAACAACATAACCGATGCAAAATTGACATGAAAATGAAAATCATAAGTTGACTGTGCTTTATTTGTCTTTGGAGAGAATAAACCAA